TCCACTCTGGCATTTCTTTCCCAGCTTTTCCAAGTTAGGTCCAGCAAAACCGGCCATGATTTGTCCCCAGCACCTAGTCCTCAGGAATTGGTCTCCCCTGCGGCCCAGGTGCAGGCTTCCTTTTGTCCTCAGACAGAATTGCCCCACTCCTGGTTTTAACTCACTGGTTAAGCATCGGCCAGCTCTTCCGGGCCGAGAGTGACCGCCCAGCTGGGCTGGGGCTTCCCAGTCAGGGATACGGTGCTGCCGTCCCTGGGGTTTCCTCAGGGGAGGCTTCTGGTGTCCAGACCGGCCAGCCCTAACCCTGAGCCCTAACCGAGGGAAGAAGGGGGCCACAGTCCGTGCTTGGCTAGCTCCACAATAGGCCTCGCTTCCTGGTTTCTTTGCCACCGTGACAAGCCTCCTTGTCGTTTCAGTGTCACTGACAAATCCAAACTCCTGTGTCCTCTGGCTGTTCCCGACTACATTCCTGAAGTCACCGTAGGAGGCCTGGATGCTGACTCAATCTACCAGAGTTACCGGGAGGTAAGAGCAGGTTCTCCGGAGAAAAGCTGCCTGGCCCTTCGGAGGGAAGGCCGAGTCGAGGCTCTGGCCGTCGGTCCCTCTGGCAGCTCATTTTTCTTGTGGCGAATCTGCTGCCATTCAAATCCTCCCGTTTGGAGGCCACCGATTCGTCTTGTTAGTAGATCTTAGATGGATAGAAAGGAAATAAATTTTATTAACGATACATTGCTATTATCTATTTCAACTCCACCGATGCTGGACTGGGTCTCCTCCTCCCAGAGCCCTGGGAACAGCCGCGTGGAAGAAGGCGCAGAGTTCCCGCCAAGGGCCAGTTCCCAGGGCTTCCTGAGGAGGATACGGAGATGGTGGCCTGGCTCAGAGGAGGTTTCCGTGGAGCTGACGCGTCTCCCCTGCTTTCCTTTTCTTGCAGCTTCCTGGACGCAAGTATGCCTCGGGTTACAACGCTGACGTGGGAGACAAGTGGATCTGGCTCAAATAGCCCATTTCTTTGGAAGAACGACGTTGGCCAGAGAAGAAGGGTGTTAAGCCGCCAGTTGTAAATAGGCGACATCTTTAGCAAAGGTGGCAGGTCTTCAGCCGGGAGGAGGAGCCCGCCACAAGGAAGGCGCTTTAATGTCCCACCCAGATTCCCCTGAGCAGAATAAAGCGGCATTTGGAGCTTCTTGGCTGAAAACCGGAGGTTCCTCCAGGTAGTTGTTGTCCAGGTCTTTTGTCTTAGCGCCCCCCCTCCCCCCCACTTCTCTTTCCCAGGGGCCTGCTTGTCCAGGGCAGCACGGCCCCCTCTGGCGCACAGCAGAAGCCTCCGCTCGGCCCAACACGGAGCCCCAGAGCAGAGGCC